GGAATGCCACATTCAGCCCCATGACAGAGCTGAAACATCCCAGCTTTGTTATTTCAGTAAATTCTCAGAACACTGTTGACTGAATATATGAGTTATCCTGTCTTCCTCACAACCAGCCCTGTCCCAATAATCACAAATAAATCCAGTAAATTCAAAAAAAAAAAAAAAAAATCAAACTCACAGCAGTCAGGAAACAAAACAGAAATGTTAATACCTGACAGAATTTTCAGACTGTCAGTGCCCACATCTCAGTCTGAGCTCTCCTTTCATCCTACTGCTCGTTTCAGCTGGCATTAGTTTTCAAAATACTGGAATACCATGCCTGGAGCGCACGAGGCAGCAGGGACAATATAGTATGTAAACGGAGACAGACAGCACTGGACAGTACTAAGGGTTCAACCTTCTTTTTGTCAAAACAGGCTGGTATTATACTGTAGCGCAGACCAGCAGAAGGATGACAGCAAGATCATTTTATATCAGTTTAAAGCACAGATGTAGGTGGTGTATAGGTGACTGTCCCCAGCAGCTGGTGCTGAACAGCAGAGGCTGACAGCAGACACACCACTGCCTGGATGCACCTCAGGACATGCACTGCTAGTTACAATATGCTGAGCAGAAGCCTTTGCTGCTAAATACTGCCCAAGGAGAAAGAACTGAGAGGATCCAACCAGCTTCCCCCATTCAAGAGTGTTAATACATCTCAAAGGAGCTACTTTCGGCACAAAAATCTGTCAAACAATGTCAAGGTTTTCAGGTGCTGAAATTAATATGAAGAAACCAGCTGCAGACCTGAAACATCTACACCAGTGTGACTGGTGGAGCGTGGTGCCGGACAACATCAGGACTGTTTGATCTTACCTGGCTGCTCAAAGAAACATTCAGTTTTGATTTCTTGGATGTTTTAAGATTTTTTTCTTTTATGGAAAGCTCCTGGGCAGCCTAGGAAGCAAGACAAATCAGATGAATCACTACAAACTTCCTTGTGCGAAGACACAAACAGTCACTTAACAGTCTATAGGGTTTTTTTGCTTCATAACTACAAAACCTTCGCTACAGCAATTAGATTTGAATTAATAAAATGACTTACAGTGCCACAGAGGTGATGTGGCTTGAGCAAAACCACCCAAAGCAACGTAAGAAAAGCTGCTACTGCACATTTAAAAAAAAATATTGTGTTAAAGCATAGCTTAATCATCAAGTACTTCACCCAAGCACTCTGCAAATGAGGAATATGCTTGGTTAGCTCAGGCAAGGTCAGGGGATGGAAACTCCAGTCTTGGGACCTGCCTTCAAATACTCTGCCAAAACCTCCCAAAGAGCTTGGGCAAAGCCCCTGTCGCTCTTCTGTGACCTACAGACAAATACCAAAACCACAGGATATCCAGCTATTTATACAAACAGAAGAAAAGGAAAGTCTTCCCTTTGCTGTTATTTATCTACTTCTCTAAAGGTAAACCCACATGTACATACGGTACAACCCAGCAACAGCGCTATAATAATTTCCAGGAGCTTCTACACAGTTCCTAACACAAGTAAGTTTCCCTGGTGCTCCAGCTCTTTTACCAGTTCCACACAAAACATGCGATTTTCTTGTATTTAACACAACCTTAGAATCATGTTTTGCATAAAACACTCATCAAAACGATGCCAAACTTACAAATCCTGGGAAGTCATAATCGAGCCCCTTTTCTGCCAGCCTCTTCCGTAAAAGTTTCTCCTTTCGCAGCAGCCGCTTTGTCATCTTTGCCTTCTGAACTAGTGAACGTATCTTATTGTATCGCCTGACCGCTGGCTGAGAGGGCTTCAGAAACATTTTGTTACAGTTTTTGAAGAGGTTTTCATGGACCCTTTCAGGAGATATGAACTGACCTGTATCATAAACATACAACATCAAGTTATAGCAGAGCTACTTTTCTCACCAAATGTACTCACATAACCCTATTCAGTTATTGTTACATATAACATTATCCACTGTGGCAGCGGAGCAAAAGTACAGCATTTTATAAACACAGAAGATGGAAAGTAACTGAATACTCTTAAGTAAGAGAACTGACGATGGATGGATGGAAGAGAAGAAAGCTTTTTCAGTTTCACGCAGAAAACAGTCAGAGAAACTTGTTTTTCAAAAGTTGATATATATATAGCTCATAAGCCTTTACAAAGCAACCTTTACTATCACCGTATGTGAGAAAATTGCTAATTTCATTAGCCTTTTAATCAAAAAAGCCCCTTCTGTCAAACTATATAGACAGCAGCTGCAGTTACAAATGACAAAGAATTTCTACACCAAAGGAACTGTCTCCACAGCAAACCCCACTGCTCCCTGACATTTCATGTTACATGACTACACAACAAGCATTACCAGCCTAGAGGAAAAAAACAGTAGCAGTGGCCAAAAGGCTGCTGAGGATGTTCTTTACACATGAAGGAAAGCAAGAAATGCCCAGCCCCACAGAAAAACCTTGCAAAAAACTTTGTTAAAAAAAAATATTCTCCAACAGTCCAAAAAAAGTAATGCAAATAACTATGAATTTCCTTTGCATGTTAGAGCACTTGCACTTCAGCTTATACTTACATTTTAGCAGTCTTTCAGAAAACAAGTAGTTGTTCATTGTGTCTGCAACAATCTTAGCCACGTCATCAGACTCAAACTCTATAAATGCGTAGCCTTTGCTAGCTCCAGTCTGCAAGCAACGACAGAAAGAAATCTGAAACGATGCTTTGATATCTAAAGAGCTACGTTAAAATTATTTTATGCTTCTGGAGTCACAGCCCATTCTCAGCTAAACAAAAGCAATTTCACAAAGTTCAGTGAAATCATGAAAAGCAGCAGATTTAGTCCTAAATTGCTAAGACAATATTCGTAAATATGTATTCATGTATTAAACAAACTGCTCACCAATACCTATTTGCTAAAAAAAGCCCTGCTGCCCTGCATTGCTGCTGTTCTGTTGTTGTCACCAAGTATATAGAGCAACATTATAATGCGGTGATAAATCCAGAAATGAGAAATCAAACTTATCAGGCACAAAGCAACAGGAAAACTAAAATGGAGTCTTTGCCATGACATTTCACGTTCTACCTTCAATTAGTATATTCTGGCAATACTTTTCACATAACAACGCCTCACATGCTGCGTATCAGCCTGATAACTCGTTGTGCAAGTATGATTTTTAGGAGACGCCGTTATGCACAGTGCCCCCCTCTGCCTCCTCATGAAACTGCAACAAAGCTCTCCACGTGGTGCGCGCCCAGGGCAGAGCACCAGACAGACGGCAACAGCACACGGAGCTGCTGAAGGCGCTTCGGGAAGGAGTTAGCTCTGCTCCTTCACCGAATCGGCAGCTTGTGTACGGAAGAAGTCTCGGAGCCTCAAAAAGATTGCAGGGCTCTACCTAAGGCAGTCGGTTGCGAACACACTGCTGCGTCTCAGGCGCTTCACGAGCGGTAACGGCAGGGGACAAACCGGCGAGGGCAGGAGCGCCCGGGTCCCCCAGCGGGGGGCGGAGGCCAAGGGCCCGGCCCGGCCCGGCGCTTTACCTTTTTACTCCTCGAGAGCCGGAGCCGCGTCACCGTCCCGAACTGCTCGAAGTACTCGTGCATCTGCGGCTCGCAGAGCCCCCGCGGGAGGTGCCCCACGTACACCACGCCCGGCTTCAGCTCCTCCTGCGGGGCACAAGGTAGCCGCGTCATGACAGG